CACACAGAAGGGAACAACCAGTATCAGTCATCCCAAAAACTTACCAAAAGGTAAAGAGTATCTCCATAATGAAGAATCTATATTAACTAATGAGCAAAATAGCCAGGTCGCATTAAAGGATAATATTAAATTCACAAATATCAATATTAATCCTAAATTTAAATGGATTAAATGCCCCAATCAACAACATAGACACGCAAACTGAATAAAGTCAAAACCCATCGGCACTCTGTATCCAGATCCATCTCATAAGCAAGGACACACAAAGACTTAAAACAAAAGGTTGGAGGAAGACTCACCAATCAAATGGAGAGAGAGAAAAAAAACAGGAGTTGTAATTTTTGTCTCTGACAAAACAGACTTTAATAGTATCAAAGACTAAAAGAAACAAAGGACATTACACAATGATAAAAGGATCAATGCAACAATAGGAGTCAATGATCATAAATATATATGCACCCAATATAGGAGCACCCAGATACATAAGACAAGTTTTCAATGACTTATAAAGAGACTTGGACTACCGCACAATAATCGCGGGAGACTTTGACACCAAATTGTTAATATTCAACAGATCAATGAGATAGAAAATTAACAGGGACATTTATGATTTGAACTCAGACCTGGAACAAGTAAACTCAGTGAATATTTATAGAATTCTTCACTCCAGGTCCACAGAACATACATTTTTTTAGTATCACATTATACCTATTTTAAAAGTGACCACATAAATGGAACCAAATCACTCTTCAGCATTTGCATAGTATTTCACAGATTTAAATAAAATATTGGTTGGCTGTTTGTTATTTTCTTTCCTTATTCCTTCCTGTCTCCACTGTTAAGCACAATTATCGGCATAAAAGAGGTTTTTAATACCTATTTTCAGATTGCATTCCAGCCTGGGCAATAGAGTAAGACTCCTGTTCTCTCTCTCTCTTTTCTCTTTCTCTATCTTTCTTTCATAAAAAAGAAAAAACAATGTAAGTACACAAAAAACTGAAATCACACCCTTTCCTTCTTCCTCTTATTTGTTGGCATGAATGGAGATATAATGACTGGATATCAGGCAGCTATATTGGATAATGAAGTAAAGGTCATGTCCCGAAGACAGCAGATCAATGATGGAATGAGATTGGGTCCCAGATACCATAGAGTACATTTTGGCCACTAGCCCTCTTTGATATTTTGTTTAAGCCATTTTTATTATGGCTTTGTCTGTAACTTCAAGGTAAACTGATAAAGTGATATTTAAGGTAAGAATAAAAGGGTAGAGAAAAATGTAAGACTTACATACATATTTTAGAAATCACAGTTTGTTGAGAACAAAGGGACAAAGTAAATGACTCAAGAATCAAAAAAGAATTTTAAAAAATAAGGAAAATAAAAGGAATGAATTAAAAATATAAAAGCATAAATTAATTAAACAGAATAAAACTATGTAAGATTTGACCGATCAAACAAAAATTGATTTCTTTGAAAAAGCCAAGGACATTTTAGGTTCTACATATAATTGGTGTATTACATATGTGCTTTTCATTTGTCTTCCTCTAAAAATGCACTAACAAAAAGTAAACATATTTTCAACAACATAAACTTCATGAGGATGAAGAGAATAATGCAGAAGACAACAGGGAAAACTCTTTTAAGTTGGAAAACAGATGAATGACTTAGTAGACCTCACAAATCAACTCACAATCGTGAAGTGGGAAGAGCTGAGAATCAATCCTGTTTAGACTATGGGACTAGAATCAATTCTGTTTAGATGATAGGACTTCTAGAGCCATCTGAAAGGTCAACCCTAGGTCCTCTGGAAATGATGGTAGCATGCCAAGTAAGAAGGATTGTGTTAAAGCTTCCTGTGCAGCAGTTAAACCTCTAGCAGTCAGATCACATTTCCCCACTTCAGTCACTGAGTAACCTACCTACCCCCTTGACCCTAATGTAAGACTGGAGTTTTATTTTCTGATGAGTGCAAAAAGGAGGGTTATTATATGAGGGGTTCCACCAACAAAATTGAGGACAAGAGTAATATGGGTAGCAAAAGTAAGTAACCAACTAAATATTGAATTCTGGTTGATTGTTCAAATGTTATGAAAGTCATTAGAACCAATTATAAATATTTTGGTTCCCCCCTTCTTAGACATATGACAGAATTTCAATTCTATTTCTTTTTAAAATTATGTGTAGCCATGTAATTTCCTTTGGCTAATAAAATGTGAGAAGTGCTATATATCCATTCTGGGCTGAAGTTTTTGGAGGCATGGTTAAACACATCTTTTCCCACTACAGTGATCATGAAAGTGTATGTGAAGATGATCTCCGCAAGTTTAGATCCTTGACTGACTGCTGTGAGGAAGGCCCCAGGCTGAACTATACAGGTTATATGAGAAAGAAATCAACTTTCATTGTGTTAAGCTGTTGAGATTTGGGGAAGTTGTTTGATATTAAGCATAACATCGTATCCTGGTGCAAAACTATACTCCTCTTCACCCGCTTAATCCTTCATCTTTTTTGATCTATATCTTTTCCTTCTGAATAGGGGATTTTAAAGAGTGAGGTAATCTGGCCAGTCTAACTGGAAAGACCTAATCACACTGACACTGAGGTTTGCCCATTCATCAGTGCTCTCAGTTCACTTTAGAATGAAAAATCAAAGTGGACAAGTATACCAACCTACTCAGAGCCATCACTCAGTTCCGTAGTCTCCCAAACTAAATAAGAACATACACATGAAGAAAGTTTCTGAAAGGGAATACAGAAATTAAAACAAAGCAAAGAGTAAAAAGGTAACTTGGAGAAAATGGAAAGTTTGCAGCAAGAGGAAAACTTGGGGGAAAAGCTATTATTAATATCATCAGATGAAAAAGAAGTTATTACATTAAAATACATTCAAAAAGAGAGCTCTTTTTTTTAAAAAAAACAGCTCTTGGAAAATACTAATCTAATAAAGAAATTAAAATATCAATATAAGGGCTTAAAGATAAAGTTAAGCAAGTGTTCTAGAAAATACTGCAAAAATAACTTTACATGGCAAGCAGGAGGGGAAAAAAAAAAGAAATTAGAGAACCGTACCAGAGGCCTAACATCTGAATTATAAGAATTCTAAAAAAGGAATGGGGGTTGGGTTATTAATAAAATAATTTAAGGAGATTTCAGAAGGAAATTAGTTTCCTAGATGAAATATCTCATCAATTATATACTTCACAATGGATGAAAAATAAGTCCAAGCCAAAACATATGATTGTTTAATTTTAAAATGTTTGAGACAACGACAAAACACTACAACAACAACAAAATAAAATATAGGTCACATATAGAAGATAAGAAATAAGATAAGCTTCAGACTTCTTAGCAAACAGATTAGTTTAGAAAGCTCATTGGCAAAACAAAAATTCTGAAGAAAAATTATTTTCAACCTAAAACTCTATACCTAGTCAAACTACTAATTACATTTGAAGGTAGAATAAAGATCTTTTAGTATGTTTAAGATTATGAAAACATTGAACTCTTAAACACCCTTCCCTGAAATCTACTGGAAGATATCTATCAAAATGAGAACCTAATTCAAGAGCGGGAAAGACAGAAGAAGCAGAAATGAGAAGATCCAAAACAGGACAGAAGTGAAATAAATCTCTAGGTGATGCTGACGGATGATCCCAGGATGACAACTGAGTCTCAGGCATAATGAACAACTAGTCCAGGAAGGAGCTGTTTGACTCAAGAGACAGGGATTTTGAAGGATATCACTAGCAATCCTCCTAACATTGTAGCAGCTTTTCAATCATATAAACCTATTGGAGGATGTGATCTAGTAATTCCATAGAGTAAACTGAAAAAGGGCAAGATATAAAATCCAGAAATAGCAAACACATCCAGAATAAAAGGCAAAGAATTCCAAGAATGACAGCAAAGAAAAAAACTCCAGAATGATAGCTGTGCAGTAGGCATAGAGAGCAACTACCCAACTTAAAGGAAAACTGAAGTCTCAGGAGGAATGGAAATGACTATGGGGAAAATTGCATGGGGAGGCAACTGTATCTGTGGGATGAATAAGTGATAGGGATAAAAAATCAAGTAAATGAAAAGGCAAGGCAATTATTAACTTCAAGAAAAAAGTGAAATAGAAAATATAATTAATATACAATAATGTTCCCAATATATTGTAAGTAAAAGAAATCTTACAAAAATATCTAAAATGTAACCCAACATAATAGTCAATTGATAATTTCTAAATTAATCAAAATACATCAGAAAACAGATTAGTGGCAGAAACAATAACTAAAAGGGGTTTAAAATGGCTACATCTTAGGAGAGGAACTAAGAAAAGAGGAGGAAAAGGGTAGAAAGCCTTGTATTTTGTTATAAGCCTCCTAGTGCTATTTAACTTTGGAGCAAGGTCACATATTATTTTGAAACAATGCATTTCAAAATATCAGTAAAGTAGAGCTCTTGCAAGCCTCGCCAAGAATAAAAAGGAGATAAAATGCTAAACATAACTAATAAGAATAGGGATACAATTAAAGGTAAATAGCACAATGAAAACAATGCCAAGCAATTTGCAAACTAGATAAAATGATTTTCAAAATAAAATGCAAGTTACTTAAAAGTACAAAACCAGAACAGATTGTACTTAAACCAAAGGTAAAATGTAAATGGTCATTACCGATCTACAACAAGTGAGGCCACCAAACCCAACCAGTTAAAAGGCAAGTTGGAATTAAGCGTGTAGAAACACATAATAATATAATTATTAAAACTATTGTATAAAAATAGATAAAAAGCTCTTTAACACATTCTATGATGCCAGTATAATCGTTTAATATTAAAGATGTAAAAGGCAAACACACACAAGGAAAACAACATGAACTAGAAAAATCCTAAAACCATGTTGACACATCAAATCTATCTGTGCACTAAAACAATAATACATTAGAGTTAAATGTCATTTATATCAATAACTCAATAATTTAGAAACTAAAGAATAAATGTATTATTTCAACAACTATCAAAATTACTTCAAAATACGAAAGAATAAAGAAAAAGAAAACCTTCTTGATTCAAAAAAGGAGTATTCACCTCAAATTGAGATCAACCATCATAGTTGAAGACGAAATGCTAGAAGTACTTTCATAAATGCAAGATAGACATACTTGCTATTACTAATTTTAAGAGTATTCATTGGATATTGGAAATTCTAGTCACTGAAATTATAGATAAACAATAATTTCTATATAATATTTAAAGTAGGTGAAGGATGAAGGTTGGATTGGGGGAGGCAGAAAGTGTTCCAAGAAATATCACAGGTAAAGAGTTGAGACCTGGCAAGTGGAAGAATTGTTTAATTCACAAGAAATTGGAAAAAGGTCAATTATTCTGCCATATCCGCATCATTATTGCTAAAATACTTTACAAGTAAATAAAATGTACTCAACCAATATTTGATAACTTCAGAGAAGAGGCTTCATTTTCTCATATTTTTTTTACTTTCCATTTTTAAAATAGGAGGTTTTCTTAAATTTCGGTGGGGAACCAGGGTTTAGTTTCAAGCCCTTGGATTTAAGAAGACAACAGATTAATTTTTCTACGAATCCAGATTATCACAGGGGAAAACAATATCACTATTACTTACTAGCATTTCTATGACCATTTGAGGATAACGATGGAATGAAACAGCAAAGATACCCGGAACAAGTCACTCTGGTTGCAGAATTCCTTCAATCCGCCATCTTTTTGTTCTAGTCTTGAGAACGGGAATAACATTCACAAAACGCAAGGTGGCGCGGCTGCCTAAAAAGAGAGAAATACCTTCGCAAAGAAAGGATGTTACAGATTCCAGAGTAAAGAGGAAATCTGACCAGAAAAGTATAGGAAAGGAAACCGTGGTAATAGGAATTGGGGGAAAGTGAGGATCCTTCCTCACAAACATTGCTGTTATTCAGCTCGTTTCAAAGAATTCGGCTGCTGCCATTTGTGAGAGCCGCTGGAGACTGAGTGGAAGTCATTTTGAAAGACTGATCCAAGGAAGAATGGAGGCCGGAGTGGAGTGTCCTGTGCAGAAAAGGCAAGTCCTATTTCTTTGTATATGTCTGGGAATGTCTTTGGCTGGCGCCGAACCGCTTCGGTATTTTGTGGCGGAGGAAACCGAGAGAGGTGCCTTTCTTACCAACCTGGCAAAAGACCTAAGGTTAGGGGTAGGGGAACTGACAGCCCGGGGAACTAGAATTATTTCAGACCAGAACATGCAATTTTTACTGCTCAATTCGCTTACTGGTGATTTATTTCTAAATGAGAAATTGGACCGAGAGGAACTGTGTGGACCCAGAGAGCCCTGTGTGCTGCCTTTCCAGTTGTTATTGGAAAAGCCTTTTCAGATTTTCCGTGCTGAACTATGGGTCAGAGACATCAATGATCACTCTCCAATATTTCTAGATAGAGAGATTTCCTTGAAAATATTAGAAAGCGCCACTCCAGGGGCAGCATTTCTCCTAGAAAGTGCACAGGATTCAGATGTTGGAACCAATAGCCTGAGTAACTACACCATAAGCCCCAATGCCTATTTCCATATTAAAGTCCACGATAGTGGGGAGGGCAATATCTATCCCGAATTGGTGCTGAACCAAGAGCTGGATCGGGAAGACATTCCAGAGCTCAGTTTAGCCCTCACGGCCTTGGATGGCGGCTCTCCGCCCAGATCCGGGACCGCCCTTGTGCGCATCACGGTTGTAGACATAAACGACAACGCCCCTGAATTTGTGCAGTCGTTCTACAAGGTGCAGGCGCCCGAAAATAGCCCGGTTGGTTCCATGGTTGTCTCCGTGTCCGCTAGAGATTTAGACACCGGAAGTAATGGGGAAATAGCCTATGCGTTTTTTTATGCCACTGAAAGAATTCTCAAAACGTTTCAACTCAATCCAACATCTGGCAATCTTTATCTTAAGGCGCAATTGGACTATGAGGCAATTCAGACATACACATTAACTATTCAGGCAAAAGACGGCGGCGGGCTTTCCGGAAAATGCACTGTAGTGGTTGAGGTAACAGATGTAAACGATAATCAACCCGAGCTGCTTCTGTCTTCACTTACTAACCCAATTGCAGAAAACTCACCCGAGACAGTCGTGGCTGTTTTCAGAATTAGAGACAGAGATTCCGGGAACAATGGAAAAACGGTGTGCTCCATCCAGGACGATCTACCTTTCATCCTGAAGCCATCTGTAGAGAGCTTTTATACTCTGGTAACAGAGAAACCTTTGGATCGAGAGAGGAACACTGACTACAACATCACCATCACCGTCACCGACTTGGGGACACCCAGGCTGAAAACCGAGTACAACATAACCGTGCTAGTCTCTGACGTCAACGACAACGCCCCCGCCTTCACACAATCCTCCTACACCCTGTTTGTCCGGGAGAACAACAGCCCCGCCCTGCACATCGGCAGCGTCAGCGCCACAGACAGAGACTCAGGCACCAACGCACAGGTCATCTACTCGCTGCTGCCGCCCCAGGACACGCACCTGCCCCTCGCCTCCCTGGTCTCCATCAACGCGGACAACGGACACCTGTTCGCCCTCCGGTCGCTGGACTACGAGGCCCTGCAGGCGTTCGAGTTCCGCGTGGGCGCCACAGACCGCGGCTCCCCGGCGCTGAGCAGCGAGGCGCTGGTGCGCGTGCTGGTGCTGGACGCCAACGACAACTCGCCCTTCGTGCTGTACCCGCTGCAGAACGGCTCCGCGCTCTGCACCGAGCTGGTGCCCCGGGCGGCCGAGCCGGGCTACCTGGTGACCAAGATGGTGGCGGTGGACGGCGACTCGGGCCAGAACGCCTGGCTGTCGTTCCAGCTGCTCAAGGCCACGGAGCCCGGGCTGTTCGGCGTGTGGGCGCACAATGGCGAGGTGCGCACCGCCAGGCTGCTGAGCGAGCGCGACGCGGCCAAGCACAGGCTGCTGGTGCTGGTCAAGGACAATGGCGAGCCTCCGCGCTCGGCCACCGCCACGCTGCACGTGCTCCTGGTGGACGGCTTCTCCAAGCCCTACCTGCCGCTCCCGGAGGCGGCCCCAGCCCAGGCCCAGGCCGACTCGCTCACCGTCTACCTGGTGGTGGCGTTGGCCTCGGTGTCGTCGCTCTTCCTGTTCTCGGTGCTCCTGTTCGTGGCGGTGCGGCTGTGCAGGAGGAGCAGGGCGGCCTCAGTGGGTGGCTGCTCGGTGCCCGAGGGCCCGTTTCCAGGGCATCTGGTGGACGTGAGCGGTACCGGGACCCTGTCCCAGAGCTACCAGTACGAGGTGTGTCTGTCGGGAGGTTCTGGGACAAATGAGTTCAAGTTCCTGAAACCAATTATCCCCAACTTCCTACCCCAGAACACAGGTAGGGAAGTCGAAGAAAATCCCCCATTTCAGAATAATTTGGGTTTCTGAAAAAGGACGAAAACTAAATGTGTGTCTGTGAATACATTTCTAATTAGGAACTTATCTTGAGCTACCTGTAGAAGAGTGTCTGTAGATCATTTCAAATATGTACTCTTGAAGTCAAGAAATTAATTTCTGTACATAGGAAAGAATCTAGATTTAGTACCAGGAACCCTTCTCAAAGCATGACATGTGTATGTGTAATGTTTTATGTCAAATAATTATGCTTAATATACAGTTTATTAAACGGTAAGTCTTGTTTGAGATACTTTAAATTGCTTTCCATTGTTTTCTATTTCTACTGCGACTTTCACTTTCTGAGTTGATTAGAATGCTGTATGAGTGTACGTAGTGTAGTCTCATAAACATAGACCGTAAAGCATCTTTTTAAGCATTTAAAAAAATGCTTTTTGTGCATCATACACTATTTTAACACTTTTAATCTCAGAATAAGTATATGAGGTGTCGTATTTTAAGAATGACAAAATAGATGGTCTTAGAGATTCAGTAAGTTCACTAAGATCCTGACAAGGGACAAAACAGAGCATCTGTCCTAGATCCGTCTGACTGGGTCAGTGACCCTGCTCCGATTTCATACTGTTTTGTCTCATTAGCCATCACCTGGCAAGTTTCTGCCTAATGAAGGAGAGGAAGTCTTTTCATCATATTCATACTGCTATTCAATCTTTTCTATATTTAGAAATTATAATGTACATATTTATCTATGGTTTTATTTTCTTATAAACTAATAATCCTGCTTTTCTGGGTCAGTTTTCAACTATTATTACTAATGATCTGATCTGTCGAAATCTCAAGTAAAAAACAAAATTGAAAGGGCAATTTGTGACTTCTCCTTGTCTTCCAAACATATGACATTTGTTTCATAGAAAATGATTAATGGTCCTGAGTAGGAATATTACATAATTTTGATCGCATCATTAATTAATTATTTTCTTCACGTTGTAGTATTTTTCGACAACCACCCATACTTAACATTTGTAGTACATTTTCCTAATTTGAAAGTTTGTTTTTTAAAGTTTTCTATTAATTATCATGTACTGCTGAATCAGGAATATTTAAGAAAAATCATTTTAAATGTATAATATCAAAGAGAAACATAGATGGTAATTAAAATTTTTAGAAATGCTGAAGGATTAAGGAGAAACACTGTTTTTTAATAAAAATTTATAGCCTATTTTAGTTTTAAAAATATCTAGACAATTTTTGCATGGTTATTTTCTGAAAATGTTATAAACTAGTGCTTGTAACTCGAATAAAGGTAGTATTACTTTATATCACTGGTGGGATAGAATCTAAGGGCAAAAAAAAAACAAAACCTCACAGCAGTAAAATCTTAAATTACTTTCATTGTCTCAGGGTAAAATTATCCAATTTCTCCAACCAATAAATGGCATGAAAAAATGGGAGGAGAAAGTCTACACTAGGAAAGATCTTAAGAGATCTACAAATCAAATGCAATGTGTGGGTCTTGTCTGGATCTTGATTCAAACAATAGTGATAACTTTGAAACACTTGGAAGAGTTTGAATATAGATGGGTACTAAGTAATATTAACTTAATTTTTTAGGCATAATAATGGTATTATAGTTAAGGGCGTTTTTAGAGTCACTTAAAGTAATTATGCATTTAAAGAAATGTATAGTGAAGTATTTGTGGGTGAAAATATGGTTTACCTGGAATGTGAAATGTTGGAGGGATAGAGTCAAGAATTACGGCAAGACGTTAATAATAGTTGAAGCTAGTCCTGAGTACTTGGTGGTTCATTATACTCTTCTTTTATAAGATATGAAAAAATTCAGAATAAAAGGTTTTTTAAATTGATCCTGTTAGAAGAGAAGTGGAGGTAACAAAAAAGGACATCATAACGTCTCTATCTGACATAGTCATGCTTATGTAGTCTTCTACCATTTGAATTTTGAGGTGTTTTTCTAGTTATATTAATGGATTCATGTATAGTCTGCTACCTGGTGGTATCAAATTGCTATATACTGGGTATATAGTTTATTTGTAAGGTTAATCTCTCTTTGCATCAGTTTTCTTACCTGTAAGGTGGAAAATTCACAACAGCCCTATGTAGTAGGTGCCATTATAATCCTCATTTTACAGATGAGGAAACTAAAGAATTATTAAATAATTTGGTCAAGGTTCACAGCTACTAAGTATTCTGTGGCTCATGGAAATAACAGTATAAACATCTAAATATTGCCTGTTATATTTAACTCCAATTATATTTGAAATTTTCTGCATATATTCTTTTTGCCAAGCTAGACTGTTACCTAAATATTTCATTTTGCCCCAAACTCAGTTAGCATTGTTGAGATTAATGTAATTTCTCCTTCGGGCAGTTGTCTGCTTAATAACGTCCGGCGATATTAACCGTGGTGTTGTAACCTTACATAGCCCCTGGGTACACACGCACAGGCAGAGTTGGGAATACTGCATCTATTATCGTCCCACTAAATGTAAGATCCTGTGAGGACGCGTGGTGGCGCTGCAGGATAAGAAGGTACAAACCGGAACCGCAGCTACTGCTCCATTAACCGGCAAAAAGCCGCAGAACCTGGAAGCGCACGGGAAGCTTGGATGCTAAGAGAGGAAGGTTGGATCCTCTGGAAAGGACTACTCCCTGGAAAAATTCTGAGGCACCTGTGAAATAACCATAGCCTCAGATACTGGTGACTTTACAGTCCCACGGAACCCTCCTCCCTGGAAGCTGAACAGAGCAAGAACAATGGAGGCCAGCAGGAAGTTCATTTGCAGACAAAGGCAAGTCCTTTTTTCCTTTCTCCTTTTGGGCTTCTCTCTGGCGGGCGCGGCGGAACCTAGGCGCTATTCAGTGGTGGAAGAAACTGAGGGTAGCTCCTTTGTAACCAATTTAGCAAAGGACTTAGGTCTGGAGCAGAGGGAATTCTTCAGGCGGGGGGTTAGGGTTGTTTCCAGAGGGAACAAACTACATTTGCAGCTCAACCAGGAGACCGGGGATTTGTTGCTAAATGAGAAACTGGACCGTGAGAATCTGTGCGGTCACACAGAGCCCTGTGTGCTACGTTTCCAGGTGTTGCTAGAGAGTCCCTTAGAGTTTTTTCAAGCTGACCTACAAGTAACAGACATAAACGACCACTCTCCAGTATTTCTGGACAAAGAAATGCTGGTAAAAGTGTCAGAGAGCAGTCCTCCTGGGACTACGTTTCCTTTGAAGAATGCTGAGGACTTAGATGTAGGCCAAAATAATATTGAGAGCTATGTAATCAGCCCCAACTCCTATTTTCGGGTCCTCACCCGCAAACGCAGTGATGGTAGGAAATATCCAGAGCTGGTGCTGGACAAAGCGCTGGACCGAGAGGAGGAACCTGAGCTCCGGTTAACACTTACAGCCCTGGATGGTGGCTCTCCATCCAAATCTGGCACTGCTCTGGTCTATGTTGAAGTTGTGGACTTCAACGATAATGCCCCTGAATTTGAGCAGCCTTTCTATAGGGTGCAGATCTCTGAGGACAGTCCAATAGGCTTCCTGGTTGTCAAGGTCTCTGCCACGGATGTAGACACAGGAATCAACGGAGAGATTTCCTATTCACTTTTCCAAGCTTCAGACGAGATTAGCAAAACTTTTAAGGTCGATTCCTTGACAGGAGAAATTCGACTAAAAAAACAACTTGATTTCGAAAAACTTCACTCCTATGAAATCAATATCGAGGCAAGAGATGCTGGAGGCTTTTCTGGAAAATGCACAGTTCTGATTCAAGTGATGGATGTGAATGATCACGCTCCAGAAGTTACCATGTCTGCATTTACCAGCCCAATACCTGAGAATGCACCTGAAACTGTGGTTGCACTTTTCAGTGTCTTAGATCTTGATTCAGAAGAAAATGGGAAAATAAGTTGCTCCATTCAGGATGATCTACCCTTCCTCCTGAAATCTTCTGTGGAAAACTTTTACACTCTACTAACAGAGAGACCATTAGACAGAGAAAGCAGAGCTGAATACAACATCACTATTACGGTCTCTGACTTAGGGACACCCAAACGAACAACACAGCTCAAAATGACCGTGCTGGTCTCTGACGTCAATGACAACGCCCCCACCTTCACACAAAGCTCCTACACCCTCTTCGTCCGCGAGAACAACAGCCCCGCCCTGCACATCGGCAGCGTCAGCGCCACAGACAGAGACTCAGGCACCAACGCACAGGTCACCTACTCGCTGCTGCCGCCCCAGGACACGCACCTGCCCCTCGCCTCCCTGGTCTCCATCAACGCGGACAACGGACACCTGTTCGCCCTCCGGTCGCTGGACTACGAGGCCCTGCAGGCGTTCGAGTTCCGCGTGGGCGCCACAGACCGCGGCTCCCCGGCGCTGAGCAGCGAGGCGCTGGTGCGCGTGCTGGTGCTGGACGCCAACGACAACTCACCCTTCGTGCTGTACCCGCTGCAGAACGGCTCCGCGCCCTGCACCGAGCTGGTGCCCCGGGTGGCCGAGCCGGGCTACCTGGTGACCAAGGTGGTGGCGGTGGACAGCGACTCGGGCCAGAACGCCTGGCTGTCGTTCCAACTGCTCAAGGCCACCGAGCCCGGGCTGTTCGGCGTGTGGGCGCACAATGGCGAGGTGCGCACCGCCAGGCTGCTGAGCGAGCGCGACGCGGCCAAGCACAGGCTGCTGGTGCTGGTCAAGGACAATGGCGAGCCTCCGCGCTCGGCCACCGCCACTCTGCACGTGCTCCTGGTGGACGGCTTCTCCCAGCCCTACCTGCCGCTCCCGGAGGCGGCCCCGGCCCAGGCCCAGGCCGACTCGCTCACCGTCTACCTGGTGGTGGCGTTGGCCTCTGTGTCGTCGCTCTTCCTGTTCTCGGTGCTCCTGTTCGTGGCGGTGCGGCTGTGCAGGAGGAGCAGGGCAGCCTCTGTGGGTGGCTGCTCGGTGCCCGAGGGCCCGTTTCCAGGGCATCTGGTGGACGTGAGCGGCATCGGGACCCTGTCTCAGAGCTACCAATACGAGGTGTGTCTGACGGGAGACTCTGGGACTGGTGAGTTCAAGTTCCTGAAGCCAGTATTACGCAATATTCAGGGCCATTCTTTTGGGCCTGAAATGGAAGAAAACTCTAACATTAGGAATGACTTTGGTTTCAGCCTTCAGTTAAAGTAATTGTTTTTCATATTCTGCATTTTCATTTTTATAATCAATTCAAAGTAACGGTTTTCTGTCAACATAGTATAAATTTTAAAATTACACTTATTTTGCCCATAGTATTTTTCTTGTTTGCACTGTTTTTAAAAATGGTATCTCATTTTGTCTTCATTAGTATATCCAGTGGACTCTAATCATAATTCTTTAACTGCAATTTTAATTAAAATGTGTATAGTAAAATGCACAGCTCTGAAGTGTAGAAATTAATCTGATCTTTTTAAGGCTCTATTTTTTTCTAATCTAGTTAAAACTTAGTTAAAAGTTGTGTACAGAGTGTTTTACATTGTCTTTTAAGTGTCTTCCTATATACTAGGGGAGTTGGCCTATTATCCCCTTTTTTACATATGAGAAAACTGAGGCTTAGGAAGGTAACTTGGCTGGGAGCGGTGGCTCACACCTGTTATCACGACACTTTGGCAGCCTGAGGCAAGCTGATCCTTTGGAGTTGAGGAGTTTGAGACCAGCCTGGCAACAGGGCAAAACCCCAACTCTAACAAAAATAAAAAATGAGCCAGGTGTGGTTCGTGAACGTGTAGTCCCAGCTACTCAGGAGTCTGAGGGGAGAGAATCCCTTGAGCCCAGGAGGCAGAAGCTGCAGTGAGCCAAGATTACGCCACTGCACTCCAGGCTGGGTGATGGAGTGAGACCTCATCCCCACTACAAATAATGGTTAAGTAACTTGCTAATAATTCTGAAGTAAAAAGGCAAAAATTTGAAATATAATCTAAGTCTAACCAATATGCTATATTGTCGGGCATTGACTGATAGCATTGTTTTTCTAACGAAGGAAGTGAAATTTATGTTATTCCTACTCTTCATGAACTAAACTCTCATGTGGAAATATAAGTTTTAGTTTATAGTTCGTTTCTACACCAATGTTAAACGTTTTTTTATTTTATAGTTCGTTTCTACACTACTCTACACAGATAAATCCAATGTTCTTATGGAAGCTTTAAATATGCTGGGACAGATCCACAAATAATTTTTAGGATAAGTGAATTAACCTGATTTATATTCCTGTACCTTCTCTACATGCCATATTTATTACTAAAGAAATGAGTCTAAGTAGGAAATAGAGTTAACCTGTAGTTGCATTTCTTGAATTTCTTATTCTCTTTCTTCAGTCTTTTTCTGTTAACCTATACACACACACACACACACACACGCACGTACACACGCACACATATATTAGAGGGATGAGAGAAGGGGAAGGAAAATAGTTAAAAGATATAGGGTTTCTCTTGAGATGAAAATGTTCCAGAATTGTGATGGTGGATGCACATCCGTGAATATATTAAAACCCATTGAAATGTATATTTTAAATGGGTGAATTGTATTGTGTCAATTATATCTTATTAAAACTGTTTTAAGAAAACAATAACAAAACGAAGATTATTCTCTTCATAATATTCTTAAAAAGTGGGGGGAATCCAAAAGTGTAGCAGACACAACCTTGAGATTTGCCTATTTGGGAATGAATTTCCCAATAACTTGAAAGTTGTAAAAACTCACAGTTCTCAGGCTTAGGTGTTATAAAGAAAAGGAAGTAATATACTCTTTAATAAAGCAATTGTTAAATATTCTTCAGAACTACCACTGAGTGCAACTTTTCAGTGTCTACTCATACTGTCTATAATAGGTACCATAAAAAAGATGTACTAGTGGAACAGTTCCCATGTTACTTCAGAAACATTTTGCTGCTAAGTATATATTCCATCTCTGCTTAAATGCTCTTAGAACATTAATCATTAATCTCAGTAGCATTTAAAACTCAATAACGCAAATGACAGTCTGCTTTGTACTGTTCCCTGTGCGACATCACAGAGGTCCATCTGTTTACACGAAACCCACATGAAAATAGGACTCAGTGTTTCATATTGCATAGCTTATTCACACATTTAGAAGAATTTTGCCTCCAAAATAAAGCAGAAAATATGACTCAGTGAGAACGCATGGTGGCGCTGCAGGCTAAGATGATGGAAAATACACTTGCCTACCCAGCTCCCCGATCCAGCAAACGGTTTCCCAAAGCCTGGAAGCAAAAGAGAAGCTGAGCCAGAGCAAACGCGAGTGTGAAACCTCTTTAAGACACCGTTGAGCTGCTTGCTTCTGACATTCCGGACTGCAAAACCGTGCTACTAGGATCCTGGGGATACATGAAGCTTCTGTGAACCAACTTTTCAAGGAAGAGCAATGGAGACTGGATGGATGCACAATCGGAGACAAAGGCAAGTCCTTGTTTTCTTTGTTTTGCTGAGCTTGTCTGGGGCGGGCGCCGAGTTGGGGCCCTATTCCACTGTGGAAGAAACCGAGAGAGGCTCTTTTGTGGCAAACCTAGGGAAAGACCTGGGTTTGGGGTTGACAGAGATGTCCAGCCGCGGGGCCAGGATCATTTCCCAGGGGAACAAACAGCATTTGCAGCTCAAAATTCAAACTGGGGATTTGCTCATAAATGAGAAGCTAGATCGAGAGGAGCTATGCGGTCCCATTGAGCCTTGTATACTACATTTCCAAGTGTTAATGGAAAAACCCTTAGAAATATTTCAGGCTGAACTGAGGGTGATAGATATAAATGACCATTCTCCCGTGTTCACTGAAAAGGAAATGGTTCTAAAAATACCGGAAAACAGTCCTCTAGGAATTACGTTCCCCCTGAATTATGCTGTGGACTTAGACTTGGGAAGCAATAATGTTCAAAACTATAAAATTAGTCCAAGCTCCCATTTCCGGGTTCTAACCCGTGAACTCAGAGATGGCAGGAAATATCCTGAGCTAGTGTTGGATAAAGAGCTGGATCGGGAGGAGGAGCCTCAACTGAGATTAACCCTGACAGCGCTGGATGGGGGTTCTCCACCGCGATCTGGAACCACCCAGGTCCGCATTGAAGTGGTGGACAGCAACGATAACGCACCTGAGTTTGAGCAGCCCATCTACAAAGTGCAGATTCCAGAGAACAGCCCCCTTGGCTCCCTGGTTGCCACCGTCTCCGCCAGGGATTTAGACAGCGGAGCCAATGGGAGAATATCATACACACTCTTTCAGCCTTCAGAGGATACTAGTAAGACTTTGGAGGTAAATCCTATGACAGGAGAAATTCGACTGAGAAAACAATTAGATTTTGAAACGACTATGTCTTATGAAGTAGACATCAAGGCCACAGATGGGGGAGGTCTTTCAGGAAAGTGTACTCTTCTCCTGCAAGTGGTGGACGTGAATGACAATCCTCCACAGGTGACCATGTCTGCACTTACCAGCCCCATCCCAGAGAACTCGCCTGAGATTGTAGTTGCTGTTTTCAGCGTTTCAGATCCCGACTCCGGGAACAATGGGAAGACGATTTCCTCCATCAAGGAAGACCTTCCCTTTCTTCTAAAACCCTCAGTCAAGAACTTTTACACCTTGGTAACGGAGAGAGCACTCGACAGAGAAGCAAAACCTGAATATAACATCACCATCACAGTCATAGATATGGGGACTCCAAGGCTGCAAACGGAGTACAACGTAACTGTGCAGATATCGGATGTCAATGACAACGTCCCCGCCTTCACACAATCCTCCTACACCCTGTTTGTTCGCGAGAACAACAGCCCCGCCCTGCACATCGGCAGCGTCAGCGCCACAGACAGAGACTCAGGCACCAACGCACAGGTCACCTACTCGCTGCTGCCGCCCCAGGACCCGCACCTGCCCCTCGCCTCCCTGGTCTCCATCAACGCGGACAACGGACACCTGTTCGCCCTCCGGTCGCTGGACTACGAGTCCCTGCAGGCGTTCGAGTTCCGCGTGGGCGCCACAGACCGCGGCTCCCCCGCGCTGAGCAGCGAGGCGCTGGTGCGCGTGCTGGTGCTGGACGCCAACGACAACTCGCCCTTCGTGCTGTACCCGCTGCAGAACGGCTCCGCGCCCTGCACCGAGCTGGTGCCCCGGGCGGCCGAGCCGGGCTACCTGGTGACCAAGGTGGTGGCGGTGGACGGCGACTCGGGCCAGAACGCCTGGCTGTCGTTCCAGCTGCTCAAGGCCACGGAGCCCGGGCTGTTCGGCGTGTGGGCGCACAATGGCGAGGTGCGCACCGCCAGGCTGCTGAGCGAGCGCGACGCGGCCAAGCACAGGCTGCTGGTGCTGGTCAAGGACAATGGCGAGCCTCCGCGCTCGGCCACCGCCACGCTGCACGTGCTCCTGGTGGACGGCTTCTCCCAGCCCTACCTGCCGCTCCCGGAGGCGGCCCCGACCCAGGCCCAGGCCGACTCGCTCACCGTCTACCTGGTGGTGGCGTTGGCCTCGGTGTCGTCGCTCTTCCTGTTCTCGGTGCTCCTGTTCGTGGCGGTGCGGCTGTGCAGGAGGAGCAGGGCGGCCTCTGTGGGTGGCTGCTCGGTGCCCGAGGGCCCGTTTCCAGGGCATCTGGTGGACGTGAGCGGCACCGGAACCCTGTCTCAGAGCTACCAGTACGAGGTGTGTCTGGCGGGAGCTTCTGGGACCAATGAGTTCAAGTTTCTGAAACCAATACTACCCAATATTCAGGACCAATCCCCTGTGCCAGAAATGAAGGAAAACTCTAACTTTAGGAATGACTTTGGTTTCAGCATTCAACTAAAATAATCAGTTTCAAGGTGTATATTTTAATGTTTATGATAAATTTAGAGTATGGCCTTTCTGTCAACGTAGTGTAAATTCCAAATTATGCTAAACTTTCCAGTGGGACTTCTCATGTTGTCGCTGTTTTAAATATAGTATGTCATCTTTTCTTCATCAGTATACCAATTTGAATTGTTCTAAAGCTTGCAAGTCAAAACACTGATGAGGTCAATAGTTGTATAAATACTAGTTCTGGAATAGCCTGGGAGTATAGAAGCGGGAGAAACATGAGAAATTGGTTCTACATAATCGGCTGCAGTTCCTTGTCGATTTGTTTATTAGTACTTTACAGGTAGTGCTGTATACCATTAATTGTATACAGAGCAGTAATGCACTAAGGTTGCAGTGAAGTCTAATCAGGAAGGAAAGAAAGCTAGTACAGTGAGAATGTCTGGCTTCTGCTTTATTGTATCCTCGTACTACTTATCTTCTTTGATGCTCTTTTCTCTTAAAGTGTTATATAATTTTTCTTCCTTTCGTTAATATATCAATATTTATTTTAATATAATTATTTTTAGTTGCTTTATATATTTGTGTTGTTCAAATAGGAGGAAACTTTCACCATATTTATTTAGTGAGATAAAGTAGCGTGGTAATGAAATGAACTTTTCTTCTTGGAGAAATATTGACCATCTGTGATGGAATTTGCAATGGCCACTCATGTCCATTTATCTTTTCTTCTTTAATGATAGATCTCAGATTTCATTTAGGGCATTAGTTTGCTTAGTGAAAACAATACATTTTCTCAGCCTTCTTGGCTGGTAAATTAAACATACGACTGGGTTCTAGTGCATGAGCTGTATGTACAAGTGGTGTACTGACTTCCAAGAACACTATTTAAAAGGAGATAATTCATCTAGGAAGGGGGTCCCCTTTTCCTTCTCTAAGTGCTCCTTGTTTCCTGGAATCTGTATGACATGACTAGTACCTCAGCCTTTTTGGCCTCTAATAATTGAAACATTAAGGATTAAGATAGTAAAAAATAAACTTAAAAGATACAAGAGTCCCTGGTGATCATGGAGTCATCATGTCATGTCTAATTGCCTATGTCTCATTTTTTAAGCCTATGAACTATAATTTTAATTAAAATATTATATATACTGTTAAATGCACAGATCTTAAATATATAGTTTAATCCAATTTTAAGCTTTTATTTGTTGATTTCTGATTTAGTCAAAATGTATTTTACAGTGGTATACAGGGTGCATTACATTTAGTATCTTTTGAAGTTTCTCCCAAACCCTGAAAGAGTTGGTATATTATCTCCTTTTTTAAATAGGAAAACACTGAGGCTTAGAAAAGTTAAGTAACTTGCTCATAGTTCTCAAGCAATTCAAGGAAAAATCTGAAATACAATCTAAGTCTACCTAAATGTAATGCCTGAGTTTTTAACCAATATAGTGTATTGGCATTACCTGGTAGCATTGTTTTTCTAAGAAAGAAAGTGAAATTTATCTATGATTTCTACTTCTATTGCATGAATTAAATGCCCATGTAAAAATGTAACTTCTGGTTTATAGTTTGTATTTGTCTCTACACCAATGACCACACTAATGTAGACCATAAAACCCAACGCTATTATAGAAGCACTGACCCAAGTAAACTGGATCAGACACCACAGGGATAATTATTTTGAGTCAATCAGTCTAATTTTATTCCCATCAATGTAATCTTGTCAATATGTCACATTCATTGTTGCAGAAATGAGTCTGAATAGTCTGAAAGCCTCAATAGGAAATAGAGTTACTCTATGGTTGCATTGAATTGACTGTGCTCTTTTTCATTCTTTTTTCCTAACCCAAATACATATTTGTGATATATGTACATATATACAGTATATTATATATATGTATACACACATTTCTTTTGAAACATTTAAAAAAGTAGTTGCTATTCCAGTTTTAATTATAAATTAAAAACCTAATTTCTGAAAAATATAGGCAATGTTGTGAAGGAATTCCTATCACTTAATAACTAAGAGATTTGGGAAATTTAGTAGAAAAATCTGGTGGGTTCCAGTTGTTTTCTGTTAAAATTAAGCATATGTCTTTGATGACTCTTCCTAAAAATTATGCTGAAAATATATGTGTATGGGTCATAAATGACTTTATTCTGAAAAAAATGACTCATTATAGCTGAATCAGACATTCTCTAGCATTGCTATGATAATTCTATTCTTCTGGAAATTATAAACTTCTGGTGACTCAGCTGCTGGGTAAATGAGAATCCATACTTGTGTTATGTATTTGTTTCCTATTGCTGCTATAAAAAATTGCCATAAACTTTATTGATTAAACAATAGTAATGCATTATCTAGTTGGGTGTGGTGGTGGGCACCTGTAATCCCAGCTACTTGGGAGGCTGAGGCAGGAGAATTGCTCGAATCTGGGAGGCAGAGGTTGCAGTGAGTCAAGACCACTCCGTTGTACTCCAGCCTGGGTGACAGACAGAGTGAGACTCCATCTCAAAAAAAAATTAATTAATTAATTAAAAATAAATAAACACAACATTACAGATACAGAAATAGGTAAGGATGGAAATATACATTCAGCATAGGAATCCATAACAAATTGCAAATTTTTAAAAAGCTAACAAAGACTACAAACACCACAAAATCCAGAAAAAGAATATGTTTTGTGCATTAACTGATCGATACAACTGCCACATACTTGTTTTCCACATTCGTTGATCACATATTATCTGATTGCCTCTTCTTATGAATGATTTTATAACATTTTCTATAGAGAAGAGAGAAAGATAAGTAAGTCTTCTAGTATAGGTGATCAAAATGTTTTTTTGACAGCTGGGATGAATAAAACATGACTTCACACATGGACATCATTACTGTTTTGTGGTATTGCCATAGGTTTTTGGCAATACAAAATACAGAAAGTCTAATAAATTCTATTTTGTGTAATTCCCATGAAAAAAGTAAAAAGCCAAAAGCAAAAACAAAAAAATGCATTGTCTTACAATTCTGTAGGTCAGAAGTCCAATATAGGTTTTATTAATTGAAAATCAAGGTATCAGCTGGGGTGAATTCCATTCGTGGCTCTAGAATACAATGCATTCCTTTGTCCTCTCTCTTCTAGACACTGCCCACCTTACTTGGTTCATGGTCCCCTTTGTCCATTATCAAAGCCAGCAACATTGCATCTTCTCTGACCCTTCTTCAATAGTCATAGCTCCCTCTGACCACAGCCAGCTAGGGTTCTGTCACATTTAGATAATACAGGAGAATATCCCCTTTGAAAAGTGATTTTTTCTTCCTGTTTTAGAGATGGCATCTCACTCTGTCACCCAGGCTGGAGTGCAGTGGTTCAATCAAAGCTCACTGCAGCCTCAACATGTTAATCACATCTGCAAAGTATCTTTTGCCATGAAAGGTAACCTATTTGCAGATTTAGAGAATTAGGGGATAGACATCTTTGGTTGGATATTATTCTGTCTACCACACATTGGCTGCTTGAAAGAAAATTATCCAGTCAGTCTAGCAGCAACACCTGTGGCCAAAGGCACAGAAAGGTCTTCATACCAGCAGTTTGGGCCTTATTAATTGAATGATTTAACCAAAGGCAAGGAAATTAACAAACTTCTGGAAGTTATTAACAAAAAACACTAAATTGAGAAAGATATCCTGAATCTTCACTGCAATTTTTTTTTTTTTTTTTGAGACGGAGTTTCGGTCTTGTTACCCAGGCTACAGTGCAATGGCACGATCTCGGCTCACCGCAATCTCCGCCTCCTGGGTTCAGGCTATTCTCCTGCCTCAGCCTCCTGAGTAGCTGGGATTACAGGCACACACCACCATGCCCAGATAATTTTTTTTGTATTTTTAGTAGAGACGGCGTTTCTCCATGTTGACCAGGATGGTCTTGATCTCTTGACCTCGTGATCCACCCGCCTTGGCCTCCTGAAGTGCTGGGATTACAGGCTTGAGCCACCACACCTGGCTCTTCACTGCAATTTAAACTATGAAAACAGAAAACCCAAGCAAAAGAATCCAAATAGAAAACTACAAACCACTGCTCAATGAAATAAGAGAGGACACAAACAGATGGAGAAACATTCCATGTTCATGGTTAGGAAGAATTAATATCGTGAAAATGGCTATACTGCCCAAAGTAATTTACAGAATCAACGCTATCCCCATCAAGCTACCATTGACTTTCTTCACAGAACTTGAAAAAACCACCATGAACTTCATGTGGAACCAAAAGAGAGCCCGCATAGCCAAATCAATTCTAAGCAAAAAGAACACAGCGGGGGCCATCACACTACCGGATTTCAAACTATACTACAAGGCTGCAGTAATCAAAACAGCACGGTACTGGTACCAAAACAGAGATATAGACCAATGGAACAAAACAGAGGCATCGGAGGCAACACAACATATGTACAACATACAATCTTTGATAAACCTGACAAAAACAAGCAATGGGGAAAGGATTCCCTGTTTAATAAATGGTGTTGGGAAAACCGGCTAGCCATGTGCAGAAAGCAGAAACTGGACCCCTTCCTGACACCTTACACTAAAATTAACTCCAGATGGATTAAAGACTTGAACATAAGACCTGGCACCATAAAAACCCTAGAAGAAAATCTAGGCAAAACCATTCAGGACATAGGAGTAGGCAAGGACTTCATGACCAAAACACCAAAAGCATTGGCAACAAAAGCCAAAATAGACAAATGGGACCTAATCAAACTCCACAGCTTCTGCACAGCAAAAGAAACAGCCACCAGAGTGAATCGGCAACCAACAGAATGGGAAAAAATGTTTGCAGTCTACCCATCTGACAAAGGGCTGATATCCAGAATTTACAAAGAACTCAAACAGATTTACAGGAAAAAAACAAACAAGCCCATTCAAAAATGGGCAAAGGATATGAACAGACACTTTACAAAAGAAGACATACATGAGGCCAACAAACATATGAAAAAATGCTCATCATCACTGGTCATTAGAGAGATGCAAATCAAAACCACATTGAGATACCATCTCACGCCAGTTAGAATGGCGATCATTAAAAAATCTGGAGACAACAGATGCTGGAGAGGATGTGGAGAAATAGGAACACTTTTACACTGTTGGTGGGAGTGTAAATTAGTTCAACCATTGTGGAAGACTGTGTGGCGATTCCTCAAGGCCTTAGAAGTAGAAATTCCATTTGACCCAGCAATCCCATTACTGGATATATATCCAAAGGACATATATCGTTCTACTATAAGGACACATGCACACAAATGTTCACTGTAGCACTGTTTACAATAGCAGAGACCTGGAACCAACCCAAATGCCCATCGATGATAGACTGAATTGGGAAAATGTGGCACATAGACACCATGGAATATTATGTAGCAATCAAAAATGAAGAGTTCGTGTCCTTTGTAGGGACATGGATAAATCTGGAGAACATCATTCTCAGTAAACTGACCCAAGAACAGAAAATGAAATACCGCATATTCTCACTCATAGGTGGATGATGAAAAAAGACAACACATGGACACAGGGAAGGGAGTACCAAACACTGGGGTCTACTGGGGGGAAGAGGGGAGGGACAGCGTGGGGGGGAGCTGGGGAGGGATAGCCTAGGGAGAAATGCCAAATGCGGGTGAAGGGGAGGAGGGCAGCAAAACAAACTGCCATGTGTGTACCTATGCAAATGTCTTGCATGTTCTGCACATGTACCCCAAAACCAAAAATGCAATAAAAAAGAATCCAAATATAATAAGAGATTTTATCTAGACTATATAAAGAACTCTTGTAATTACATTATAAAAAGATAAATAACTCAATTAAAATGGGCAAAAATCTAACACGAGATTTCTTCAAGGTAGAGTGGCCAATAGACACATGAAAAGATACTCAACATCATTAGTCATATGGGAAATACAAATCAAAATTACAAGACACTATTTCATACCCACTAGAATGGTTATGATCAAACAGATGACAAATATTGGGAGAATACAGAAAAATTGGAATCCTAATACACCGTGGCTGGGAATATAAGGTGGTGTAGCCACTTTGTAAAACAGTCTTGGTAGTTCCTCAAATAAACATAGGAATATCACATAATCCAGAAATTCCATTCTTAAGAAATGAAAATGCCAGGTGTGGTGGCTCACTCTTGTAATCCCAGCACTTTGGGAGGCTGAGGCTGGCAGATCACCTGAGGTTGGGAGTTCCAGAACAGCCTGACAAACATGGAGAAACCCCATCACTACTAAAAATACAACATTAGCCAGGCATGGTGGTGCATGCCTTCAATCCCAGCTACTTGGGAGGCTGTGGCAGGAGAATTGCTTGAATCTGGGAGGCGGAGGTTGTGGTGAGCCGAGATTGTGCCATTGCACTCAAGCCTGGGAAACAAGAGCACGATTAGTCTCAAAAGAAAAAAAAGAGAGTGAGAGAAAGGGAAGAAAAGATAAAAGAAAGAAAGGAAGAAAGAAAAAGAAAGAAAGGAAAAAAGGAAAAGGATAAAAGAAAAAGAAAGAAAAAAGAAAGAGAGAGAGAGAAGCAATGAAAACAAGACCGGGGTGGTAGTAATCCTAGCACTTTGGGAGGTCGAGGTGAGCAGATCACCTGAGGTCAGGAGTTTGAGACCAGCCTGGCCAACATGGCAAAACCCCATCTCCACTAAAAGTACAAAAATACTAGGTGAGCATGGTGACAGGCACCTGTAATTCCAGCTACTTGGGAGGCTGAGGTATAAGAATCTCTTGAACCCCAGAGGCGGAGATTGCAGAGAGCCGAGATCATACCACTACACTGCAGCCTTGGCGACAGAAACTGCAGTGTAGAGAGACTCAGTGTGAGAGACTCCATCTAAAGAAAAAAGGAAAAAAAGAAAGAAATGAAAACACCCGCATAGACATTTGTACATGAATGTGAATGTCCATAGCAACGTTATTTATAATAGCCAAAAGGTGAAAACAATCCAAATGTCTATAAGCAGTTGAATTGATAATAGAAATGTGATATTCTATACAATGGAATATTATTTGGCCAAAAATAGAAATTAAAGATTCATACATGCTACAACTTAGATGAACTTCAAAAGCATTATGCTAAGAGAAAAAAGCCAGCCACAAAAGTCCACGTTATATTATTCCATAATATGGAAGTCCAGAATAGGAAACTCTATGGAGACAAGGAGTAGATTAATGGTTGCTTAGGCTCAGCACAGGAGGGATGAGGGAATTGTTGGGGGATAAGGAGTAATAGTTAAAAGATACAGAGTTATTTTGAGGTGATTAAAATGTTCTAAATTGGGATGAATGCACAACTCTGAATATATCATAAACCATTAAATCATATATTTTATTTATTTGTTTGTTTATTTATTTATGCATTTATTTATTTTTGAGATGGAGTCTCATTTTGTCACCCAGGCTGAAGTACATTAGTGCGATCTCCACTCACTACAACCTCCACCTCCCGGGTTCAAGTGATTTTCCTGCCTCAGCCTCCCAAGATATCTTTTGTATTTTTAGTAGAGATCGGGCTTCATTATGCTGGCCAGGCTGGCCTCAAACTCCTGACTTTGTCATCAACCCACCTCAGCTCCCGAAAGTGATAGGATTACAGGCCTAAGTCACCACTCCTGACTTGAATCATGTATTTCAAATAGGTAGATTGCACTTTTAAAATGTTCATGGGTATATAGTAGGTTCACATATTTAAGGGTGTATTGTATTTTTTAAAATATATTTCAGTATATCTTCTTTTTAAGTAGAATAAAACGAAATTATTCTTGTAATGATAAAAACCAATTCAAAAACAGTGGCGGGCCCGACCCTGAGATCTACCTATCTGGGAAATGATTTTCCAATAATTTGAAAGTTGTGAAAACTCAGTCCTCAGAGCTAGGTGATAATGAGGAATTAAATTGCTCTCTAGTAAGGCATTAGGTAACCTTCCTCTTTAGAACTACTACTGACTGCAGTGATGCAGTGTCTACCCAGTGTCTGTAACATGTAGAATGACAAATATGTGCTTGTGAAATTGTTCCCATGTCACGTCAGAAACAGTTTGCTCGTGATATTTTGGGCTAGATGATTCAAATAGGAAAGAAACATTTTGTTCCTAAGTGTATATTTCACCTCAAATTAAATGTTAATTTCAATTAAAATATTTTGTTTAATCACTAACAACAGCATTAAACAGTCAATAACATGTGACTGTTTGCTCCTTCTACTCCTCCCTTGCAACATCACAGAGGTCCGTCTGTTCACACAAAACCCACATGAAAATAGGACTCACTGTTTCATATTGCATAGCTTATTCAGTACATTTAGAAGAATTTTGCCTCCAAAATTAAACCAGAAAATATGACTCAGTTAGAACGCATGGTGGCGCTGCAGGCTAAGATGATGGAAAATACAATTGCCTACCCAGCTCCCAGATCCAGCAAACGGTTTCCCAAAGCCTGGAAGCAAAAGAGAAGCTGAGCCAGAGCAAACGCGAGTGTGAAACCTCTTTAAGACACCGTTGAGCTGCTTGCTTCTGACATTCCGGACTGCAAAACCGTGCTACTAGGATCCTGGGGATACATGAAGCTTCTGTGAACCAACTTTTCAAGAAAGAGCAATGGAGACTGGATGGATGCACAATCGGAGACACAGGCAAGTCCTTGTTTTCTTTGTTTTGCTGAGCTTGTCTGGGGCGGGCGCCGAGTTGGGGCCCTATTCCACTGTGGAAGAAACCGAGAGAGGCTCTTTTGTGGCAAACCTAGGGAAAGACCTGGGTTTGGGGTTGACAGAGATGTCCAGCCGCGGGACCAGGATCATTTCCCAGGGGAACAAACAGCATTTGCAGCTCAAGGTTCAAACTGGAGATTTGCTCATAAATGAGAAGCTAGATCGAGAGGAGCTATGCGGTCCCATTGAGCCTTGTATACTACATTTCCAAGTGTTAATGGAAAAACCCTTAGAAATATTTCAGGCTGAACTGAGGGTGATAGATACAAATGACCATTCTCCCGTGTTCACTGAAAAGGAAGTGGTTCTAAAACTACCGGAAAATACTCCTCTAGGAACTGAGTTCCCCCTGAATCATGCTGTGGACATGGACGTAGGAAGTAATAATGTTCAAAACTATAAAATCAGCCCAAATTCCCATTTCCGGGTTCTAACCAGAGAACGCAATGATGGCAGGAAATATCCTGAGCTAGTGTTGGATAAAGAGCTGGATCGGGAGGAGGAGCCTCAACTGAGATTAACCCTGACAGCGCTGGATGGGGGTTCTCCGCCGCGATCTGGAACCACCCAGGTCCGCATTGAAGTGGTGGACAGCAACGATAACGCACCTGAGTTTGAGCAGCCCATCTACAAAGTGCAGATTCCAGAGAACAGCCCCCTTGGCTCCCTGGTTGCCACCGTCTCCGCCAGGGATTTAGACAGCGGAGCCAATGGGAAAATATCATACACACTCTTTCAACCTTCGGAGGATATCAGTAAGACTTTGGAGGTAAATCCTATGACAGGGGAAATTCGACTGAGAAAACAATTAGATTTTGAAACGACTATGTCTTATGAAGTGGACATCAAGGCCACAGATGGGGGAGGTCTTTCAGGAAAGTGTACTCTTCTCCTGCAAGTGGTGGACGTGAATGACAATCCTCCACAGGTGACCATGTCTGCACTCACCAGCCCCATCCCAGAGAACTCGCCTGAGATTGTAGTTGCTGTTTTCAGCGTTTCAGATCCCGACTCCGGGAACAATGGGAAGACGATTTCCTCCATCCAGGAAGACCTTCCCTTTCTTCTAAAACCCTCAGTCAAGAACTTTTACACCTTGGTAACGGAGAGAGCACTAGACAGAGAAGCAAAAGCTGAATATAACATCACTGTCACAGTCACAGATATGGGGACTCCAAGGCTGCAAACGGAGTACAGCGTAACAGTGCAGATATCGGATGTCAATGACAATGTCCCCGCCTTCACCCAAACCTCCTACACCCTGTTCGTCAGGGAGAACAACAGCCCCGCCCTGCACATCGGCAGCGTCAGCGCCACAGACAGAGACTCAGGCACCAACGCACAGGTCACCTACTCGCTGCTGCCGCCCCAGGACACGCACTTGGCCCTCGCCTCTCTGGTCTCCATCAACGCGGACAACGGACACCTGTTCGCCCTCCGGTCGCTGGACTACGAGGCCCTGCAGGCGTTCGAGTTCCGCGTGGGCGCCACAGACCGCGGCTCCCCGGCGCTGAGCAGCGAGGCGCTGGTGCGCGTGCTGGTGCTGGACGCCAACGACAACTCGCCCTTCGTGCTGTACCCGCTGCAGAACGGCTCCGCGCCCTGCACCGAGCTGGTGCCCCGGGTGGCCGAGCCGGGCTACCTGGTGACCAAGGTGGTGGCGGTGGACGGCGACTCGGGCCAGAACGCCTGGCTGTCGTTCCAGCTGCTCAAGGCCACGGAGCCCGGGCTGTTCGGCGTGTGGGCGCACAATGGCGAGGTGCGCACCGCCAGGCTGCTGAGCGAGCGCGACGCGGCCAAGCACAGGCTGCTGGTGCTGGTCAAGGACAATGGCGAGCCTCCGCGCTCCGCCACCGCCACGCTGCACGTGCTCCTGGTGGACGGCTTCTCCCAGCCCTACCTGCCGCTCCCGGAGGCGGCCCCGGCCCAGGCCCAGGCCGACTCGCTCACCGTCTACCTGGTGGTGGCGTTGGCCTCGGTGTCGTCGCTCTTCCTGTTCTCGGTGCTCCTGTTCGTGGCGGTGCGACTGTGCAGGAGGAACAGGGCGGCCTCAGTGGGTGGCTGCTCGGTGCCCGAGGGCCCGTTTCCAGGGCATCTGGTGGACGTGAGCGGCACCGGAACCCTGTCTCAGAGCTACCAGTACGAGGTGTGTCTGGCGGGAGCTTCTGGGACCAATGAGTTCAAGTTTCTGAAACCAATACTACCCAATATTCAGGACCAATCCCCTGTGCCAGAAATGAAGGAAAACTCTAACTTTAGGAATGACTTTGGTTTCAGCATTCAACTAAAATAATCAGTTTCAAGGTGTATATTTTAATGTTTATAGTAAATTTAGAGTATGGTTTTTCTGTCAACCTAGTGTAAATTATAAATTATGCTAAACTTTCCTATGGGACTTCCCATGTTGTCGCTGTTTTAAATGTGGTATGTCATCTTTTCTTCATTAGTATACCAATTTGAATAGTTCTAAATCTTGCCAATCAAAACACTGATCAGGTAAATGGCTGTACAAATACTAGTTCTGGAGTAGTTTGGGGGAATAGAAGCGGGAAAATCTGAGAAATTGGTTCTACATAATCAGTTGTAGTTCCTTGTCTATTTGCTTATCAGTTGTTAATCCATTAAGTGTATACAGAACAGTAATGCACTAAGGTTGCAGTGAAGTCTGATCAGGAAGGAAAGAAAGCTAGTACAGTGCGAATATCTGACTCCTACTTTATTATGCCCTCATACTACTTACCCTCTTTGATGCTGTTTTCTCTTAAAATGTTATATAATTTTCCTCCCTTCCATGAATATATTAGCACTTGTTTTAATATAACTATTTTTAATTGCTTTATGTATTTGTGTTGTTCAATAAGAGGAAACTTTCACCATATTTATTTAGTGAGATAAAGTAGCGTGGTAATGAAGTTAGCTTTTCCCCTTGGAGAAATATTGACCATCTTTGATGGAATTTCAGTGGCCTCTCATATCCATGTATCTTTTCTTCTTTAATGACAGATCTCAGATTTCATTTAGGGCATCAGTTTGCTTAGTGAAAACAATACATTTTCAAGCCTGGGAAACTGAACTTATGACTGGGTTGTGGCCATGAGATGTATGCACAAGTATTATACTGACCTCCACGAACACTGTTTAAAGGGAGATAATTCATCGAGGAAGGGGGTCCCCTTTTTCCTTCTCTAAGTGCTCCTTCTGGCCTGGAATCTGTATGTCCTGACTAGTGCCACAGTCTTCTTGGACCCTAATGATTGAAACATTAAGGATTAAGATAGTAAAAAATAAACTTAAAAGAGTTGTCATGTCATCTCTATATTGCGTATGTCTAATTTTTTTTACTTAGGAACTATAATTTTATTTAAAACATTATATATACAGTTAAATTCACTGATCTTAAATGTGTGGTTTAATATAATTTTTAAGCTTTTACTTGTTGATTTTTGATTTAGTCAAAATGTAGTTTACAGTGGCATACAGGGTGCGTTACATTTAGTATCTTTTGAAGTTTCTCCCAAACCCTGAAAGAGTTGGTATATTATCTCCTTTTTACATATGAAAACACTGAGGCTTGGAAAGGTTAAGTAACTTGCTCATAATTCTCCAGCAATTAAAGGAAAAATCTGAAATACAATCTAAGTCTACCTAAATGTAATGCCCCAGTTTTTAACCAATATAGTGTATTGGCATTACCTGATAGCATTGTTTTTCTAACTAAGAAAGTGAAATTTATCTATGATTTCTACTTCTATTCCATGAACTAAACTCCCATGTAAAAATGTAACTTGTAGTTTATAGTTTGTATTTGTCTCTACACCAATGGCCACACTAATGTCGACCACTAAACCCAACGCTATTATAGAAGCACTGACCTAGGTAAGCTGGATCAGGCACCATAAGTGATTTTCATTTTGAGTGAATCAGTCTGAGTATATTCCCATACCTTTTCATCTCATCAATATGTCACATTCATTGTTGCAGAAATGAATCTGAAATAGTCTGAAAGCCTCAATAGGGAATAGAGTTACTCTATGGTTACATTGAATTGATTGTGCTCTTTTTCATTCTTTTTATCCTAACTCAAATACATATTTGTGATATATATGTAATGTACATACCATGTTTCTTTTGAAACATTTAAAAGTAGTTGCTATTCTAGTTTTAATTATAAATGAAATAACGAATTTCTGAAAAATATAGGCAATGTTGTGAAGGAATTCCTATCACTTAATAACTAAAAGATTTGGGGAATTTAGTAGAAAAAATTCTGATAGGCTCCAGTTGTTTTCTGTTAAAAATTAAGCATATGTCTTTGACAACTCTTCCTAAAAATTATGCTGAAAATACATGTGTGTGGGTCATAAATGACCTTATTATAAGAAAAATTACTCATTATAGCCAAATAAGACACTCTCCAGCATTGCTGAGATAATACTATTCTTACAAAATTATAATTATAAATTTCTGTTGACTCAACTGCTGGGTGCATGATAATCCATACTTGTGTTATGTATTCATTTTCTATTGCTGCTATAAAAAATTGCCAAAACTTTATTGCTTAAAACAATAAAAAAGCATTGTCTTCCAATTCTGCAGCTCAGAAGTTCAATATGGGTTTTATTAATCGAAAATCAAGGTATCAGCTGGGGTGCATTCCATTCTTGTGGCTCTCGAGGAGAATGCATTTCTTTGTCTTCTCTCTTCTAGACACTGCCCACATTACTTGGTTTATGGCTCCTTTGTCCATCATCAAAGCCAGCAACATTGCATCTTCTCTGATCATTCTTTAATAGTCATAGCTCCCTCTGACCACAGCCAGCAAGTGTTCTGTCCCATTCAGATAATACAGGAGAATCTCCTCTTTGAAAAGTGATTTTTTTCTTCTTGTTTTAGAGATGGGAACCCACTCTGTCACCAAGCCTGGAGTGCAGTGGTTCAAAGCTCACTGCAGCTTCAACATGTTAATCACATCTGCAAAGTACCTTTTGCCATGTAAGGTAACCTATTTGCAGATTTAGAGAATTAGGGGATAGACATCTTTGGTTGGCCATTATTCTGTCTACCACACATTGGCTGCTTGGAAGAAAATTATCCAGTCTAGCAGCAACACCTGTGGCCAAAGGCACAGAAAGGTCTTCATGCCATCAGTTTGGGCTTCATTGATTAGATGATTTAACCGAAGGCCAAGAAATTAACAAACCTCTAGAAGTTATTTACAAAAAACACTAAATTGAGAAAGATATCCTGAATCTTCACTGCAATTTAAACTATGAAAACAGAAAACCCAAGCAAAAGAATCCAAATATAAAAGAGACTTTATCTAGAATATATAAAGAACTCTTGTAATTACATCATAAAAAGATAAATAACCCAATTAAAATGGGCAAAAATCTAACATGAGATTTCTTCAAGGTAGATATGCAAGTGGCCAATAGACACATGAAAAGATACTCAACATCATTAGCCATATGGGAAATACAAATCAAAATCGCAAGACACCACTTCACACCCACTAGAATGGCTACAATCAAAAAGTTAGATAACAAGTATTGGGAGAATACAGAAAAATTGGAATCTAATGCACCATGGGTGGGAATATAAGATGGTGTAGACATTCTGTAAAACAGTCTTGGCAGTTCCTCAAATAAACATAGGAATATCACATGATCCAGAAATTCCACTCTTAAGAAATGAAAACAAGACCAGGGGCAGTGACTCATACCTATAACCCTGGCAATTTGGGAGGCTGAGGCTGGCAGATCACCTGAGGTCAGGAGTTTGAGACTAGCCTGGCCAACATGGCAAAACCCCATCTCTACTAAAAATACAAAAATATTAGCTGAGCGTGGTGGCAGGCACCAGTAATCCCAGCTACTTGGGAGGCTGAAGCACATGAATTGCTTGAACTCAGGAGGCAGAGGTTGCAGTGAGCTGGGATTATGCCACTGCACTGCAGCCTGGATGACACAGCCAGACTCTGTCTCAAAAAAAAGGAAAAAAAATAAATGAAAACATTCACCCACATGGACAGTTGTACATGAATGTCCATAGCAGCATTATTCATAATAACCAAAAAAGTGAAAAGAATCCAAGTGTCTATCAGCAGATGAATTGATAATCAAAATGTGATATTCTATAGAATATTATTTGGTCAAAAATAGAAATTAAATATTGATACATGCTACAACTTGAATGAACCTCGAAAGCATTATGCTAAGAGAAATAAGCGAGCCACAAAAGTCCACATGTTATATTATTCCATAATATGGAAGTCCAGAATAGGAAACTCTATGGAGACAAGAAGTAGATTAATGGTTGCTTAAGGCTCAGCACGGAGGGATGAGGGAATTGTTGGGGGATAAGGAGTAATAGTTAAAGGATACAGAGCTATTTCGAGGTAATCAAAATGTTCTAAATTGTGCTGATGGATTCACAACTCATGTATCATAAGCCATTGAATGCACAACTCTATATATCATAAGCCATTGAATCATATATTTTATTTATTTATTTGTGAGACGGAGTCTCGCTTCAGTCGGGCTGAAGTGCATTGGTACAATCTCCGTTCACTGCAACTTCCACCTCCTAGGTTCAAGCGATTCTTCTGCCCCAGCCTCCTGAGATATTTTTTGTATTTTTCTTCTTCTTTTTTTCATTGTACTTTGGGCTCTGGGGTACATGTGCACATCCCGCATCCTGAAGGATTGTTGCACAGGTACATATATGCCATGGTTTGCTGTATCCATCCCCCCAACACATAAGTCATTTCTCCCTGTGTTATCCCTCCTCAACCTCCGTGTCCCCCTGTTGTCCCTCCTCTTCCCTCCCCTCCCCTCCACCCCCCACCTACCCCAGTGAGTGTTGTTCCCTTCCCTGTGCCCAAGTGTTCTCATTGTTCGTCACCCACCTATGAGTGAAAACATGCAGTGTTTGGTTTTCTGTTCTTATGTCAGTTTGCTGAGAATGATGGTTTCCAGATTCATCCATGTCTCTCTCTATAAAGGACACAAACGTCGTTTTTTATTGCTGCATAGTATTCCATGTTGTATTATTTTTTGTATTTTTAGTAGAGATGCGCCTTCACTATGTTGGCCAGGCTGGCCTCAAACTCCTGACTTAGTGATCGCCAGCCTCAGCCTCCCGAAGTGCTGGAATTACAGGCTTGAGTCACTGCACCGGGCCTGAATCATATATTTCAAATGGGTAGATTGCATTTTTAAAATTTTTCCTGGGTACATAGTAGGTGCATATATTTAAGAGTGAATTGTATTATATGATTTTAATGATATCAGTATATCTGGTTTCTAAGTAGAATAAAACAGAAATTATTCTTGTAATGATAAAAACAATCCAAAAACTGTGGCAGGCTTGATCTCGAGATCTACCTATTTGAGAAATGATTTTCCAATAATTTGAAAGTTGTGAAAAACTCAGTTCCCAGAGCTAGGTGATAATAAGGAAGCAAATTGCTCTCTAATAAAGCATCAGTTAACCATCCTCTTTAGAACTACTACTGTCTGCAGTGATGCAGTGTCTACCCAGTGTCTGTAACATGTAGAATGACAAATATGTGCTTGTGAAATTGTTCCCATGTCACGTCAGAAACAGTTTGCTCGTGATATTTTGGGCTAGATGATTCAAATAGGAAAGAAACATTTTGATCCTAAGTATATATTTCTCTTCAAATTAAATGTTAATTTCAATTAAAATCTTTAATCACTAAACAACAGCATTAAACAGTCAATAACATGTGACTGTTTGCTCCTTCTACTCCTCCCTTGCAACATCACAGAGGTCCATCTGTTCACACGAAACCCACATGAAAATAGGACTCACTGTTTCATATTGCATAGCTTATTCAGTACATTTAGAAGAATTTTGCCTCCAAAATTAAACCAGAAAATATGACTCAGTGAGAACGCATGGTGGCGCTGCAGGCTAAGATGATGGAAAATACAATTGCCTACCCAGCTCCCCGATCCAGCAAACGGTTTCCCAAAGCCTGGAAGCAAAAGAGAAGCTGAGCCAGAGCAAACGCGAGTGTGAAACCTCTTTAAGACACCGTTGAGCTGCTTGCTTCTGACATTCCGGACTGCAAAACCGTGCTACTAGGATCCTGGGGATACATGAAGCTTCTGTGAACCAACTCTTCAAGAAAGAGCAATGGAGACTGGATGGATGCACAATCGGAGACACAGGCAAGTCCTTGTTTTCTTTGTTTTGCTGAGCTTGTCTGGGGCGGGCGCCGAGTTGGGGCCCTATTCCACTGTGGAAGAAACCGAGAGAGGCTCTTTTGTGGCAAACCTAGGGAAAGACCTGGGTTTGGGGTTGACAGAGATGTCCAGCCGCGGGGCCAGGATCATTTCCCAGGGGAACAAACAGCATTTGCAGCTCAAGGTTCAAACTGGAGATTTGCTCATAAATGAGAAGCTAGATCGAGAGGAGCTATGCGGTCCCATTGAGCCTTGTATACTACATTTCCAAGTGTTAATGGAAAAACCCTTAGAAATATTTCAGGCTGAACTGAGGGTGATAGATATAAATGACCATTCTCCCGTGTTCAATAAGAAGGAAATGGTTCTAAAAATACTGGAAAACAGTCCTCTAGGAACTGAGTTCCCCCTGTATCATGCTGTGGACATGGACATAGGAAGTAATAACGTTCAAAACTATAAAATCAGCCCAAGCTCCTATTTCCGGGTTCTAACCAGAGAACGCAATGATGGCAGGAAATATCCTGAGCTAGTGTTGGATAAAGAGCTGGATCGGGAGGAGGAGCATCAACTGAGATTAACCCTGACAGCGCTGGATGGGGGTTCTCCGCCGCGATCTGGAACCACCCAGGTCCGCATTGAAGTGGTGGACATCAATGATAACGCACCTGAGTTTGAGCAGCCCATCTACAAAGTGCAGATTCCAGAGAACAGCCCCCTTGGCTCCCTGGTTGCCACAGTCTCCGCCAGGGATTTAGACAGCGGAGCCAATGGGAAAATATCATACACACTCTTTCAGCCTTCGGAGGATATCAGTAAGACTTTGGAATTAAATCCTAGGACCGGAGAAATTCGACTGAGAGAACAATTGGATTTTGAAACGACTATGTCTTATGAAGTAGACATCAAGGCCACAGATGGGGGAGGTCTTTCAGGAAAGTGTACTCTTCTCCTGCAGGTGGTGGACGTGAACGACAATCCTCCACAGGTGACCATGTCTGCACTCACCAGCCCCATCCCAGAGAACTCGCCTGAGATTGTAGTTGCTGTTTTCAGCGTTTCAGATCCCGACTCCGGGAACAATGGGAAGACGATTTCCTCCATCCAGGAAGACCTTCCCTTTCTTCTAAAACCCTCAGTCAAGAACTTTTACACCTTGGTAACGGAGAGAGCACTCGACAGAGAAGCAAAACCTGAATATAACATCACCGTCACAGTCACAGATATGGGGACTCCAAGGCTGCAAACGGAGTACAACGTAACAGTGCAGATATCGGATGTCAATGACAACGCCCCCACCTTCACACAATCCTCCTACACCCTGTTTGTTCGGGAGAACAACAGCCCCGCCCTGCACATCGGCAGCGTCAGCGCCACAGACAGAGACTCAGGCACCAACGCACAGGTCACCTACTCGCTGCTGCCGCCCCAGGACCCGCACCTGCCCCTCGCCTCCCTGGTCTCCATCAACGCGGACAACGGACACCTGTTCGCCCTCCGGTCCCTGGACTACGAGGCCCTGCAGGCGTTCGAGTTCCGCGTGGGCGCCACAGATCGCGGCTCCCCGGCGCTGAGCAGCGAGGCGCTGGTGCGCGTGCTGGTGCTGGACGCCAACGACAACTCGCCCTTCGTGCTGTACCCGCTGCAGAACGGCTCCGCGCCCTGCACCGAGCTGGTGCCCCGGGCGGCCGAGCCGGGCTACCTGGTGACCAAGGTGGTGGCGGTGGACGGCGACTCGGGCCAGAACGCCTGGCTGTCGTTCCAGCTGCTCAAGGCCACGGAGCCCGGGCTGTTCGGCGTGTGGGCGCACAATGGCGAGGTGCGCACCGCCAGGCTGCTGAGCGAGCGCGACGCGGCCAAGCACAGGCTGCTGGTGCTGGTCAAGGACAATGGCGAGCCTCCGCGCTCGGCCACCGCCACGCTGCACGTGCTCCTGGTGGACGGCTTCTCCCAGCCCTACCTGCCGCTCCCGGAGGCGGCCCCGGCCCAGGCCCAGGCCGACTCGCTCACCGTCTACCTGGTGGTGGCGTTGGCCTCGGTGTCGTCGCTCTTCCTGTTCTCGGTGCTCCTGTTCGTGGCGGTGCGGCTGTGCAGGAGGAGCAGGGCGGCCTCTGTGGGTGGCTGCTCGGTGCCCGAGGGCCCGTTTCCAGGGCATCTGATGGACGTGAGCGGCACCGGGACCCTGTCCCAGAGCTACCAGTACGAGGTGTATCTGACAGGAGGTTCTGGGACAAACGAGTTCAAATTCCTGAAGCCGATTATCCCCAACTTCTCGTCTTAGGTAACTGGGAACTAAATAGATTAAAATTCCACACTTCACAGTAGCTTTGGATTTAATTATTCGTAGCAATCCATTGGTTGAATAACTACACTTTTATCATTGTCGTGTTGAATAAAATGTTCATGCTCACCACCACCCAGAAGGTGGTACTTTTCTCTGATTGCTACTTCCAATTATATCGTGAAGTTGTTTGCCTTTTGCTCGTATTTAACCCAAAGAGGTGTTTTCATATAATCTCAAGTAACAAAATAGACTTTATCTTCAAAGTTGACATCATTTAAAATTTTTGCCTTTATATTTTGTTCACTTTCTATTCATTTTTTGCTTCATTATTCATGTTAGTTCTCAGTTTCCTGGAGCTTCAAGCATTAAAATAGCTTGCTGCATGTATTAGGTTTCCTATGTTACAGTTCTTTTTTTTATTTTCGTTTCAAAATTGGTATTCTTGTTGGTTTTTGAATCTCAATTTTATAACATTTTCTTAAAAGTTCCTTTTTTTTCTTTTTAGACAGGGTCTTACTCTGTCACCCAGGCTGGAGTGCAGTGGCACAATCTTGGCTCACTGCTCCCTCTGCCTCTCAGGCTCAAGGGATCCTCCTACCTCAGCCCTTGAGTAGCTTGGACCACCACACCTGGCTAATCTTTTGTAGAGATGGAAATTTTTAGGTTGCCCAGGCTGGTCTTGAACTCCTGGGGTTAAGTCATCCTGCATCCTTGGCCTCCCAAAATTCTAGCATTACAGGCATAAGCCAATGTCCCCATTCAAAGGTACCTTCTTTAAAAAAAGTTCTATTTTCCCTGTATTGATAGCTCTCTAAATAAAATATAATATTCCTGTTGTAAGTGATATGAGAAATCTTTAACCAGGCTTATCTAAAAATAAAGAGAAGTTATTGTAAGGCATTGAGTATGTGCAAATGTGTTTATGTTTATAGCCAACGGCAAAGGTATTATGTAAAAATATTTAATAATTTATTGTTTCTAATTCTGAATTTAAAAATCAGAGGTCCCTGTTTTGTTTTTAATGGCCAATAACTCAGTCTCATTCAGTTGGAAAATATAGAACTCATCAAGGAGAGGTTTATATGGTTTGGCTTTTATAGACCTCACAGATATGTTGGCAGTATCCAGCCCTTTCTCTGTAAAACATCCCTATGTTTAATCTGCATTTCTTGCTTATTATGAGAAAAATTGAGCTTCTTTCTAGACATAAGACCTTTGAATAAGATTCTCTGTGAGTCAGATTTTATAATTTGTTCTCACTTTCATAGTGTCAGGATAGGTGCTATCTTGATCTGTTTTTTCTTCCCCTTATTCGGTTCAGAGAAAGTAGGGCCTACTAGATTTCCATTAAAAGGGACCACCCTGGTTCCCACTGCAGTCAGCTCCCCCTCTGCTAGTCCCAGGTCCTTTGCCAGACTAACCACAAAGGATCCTCTCTCAGTTTCCTCCATCACAAAAATTAAGGCCTACTAGATTTCCATTAAAAGGGACCTTAAAATAGAGATCAGTCAGTCCCTTCTTAAACTCTGCAAGTTATTTTAAAGCTAATATAAGAAAAAAGAAACAAATTGTAAAGTATGTGTAAATTAAAGAAAACAACTTTCAAGTAGCAGAGATCGAAAGGCACTGAATATTGTTTTATGTCCTATTCACTAGAGTTTATTTATGAATACCTTAATATGGCAAGCATTTAATGAGTGGCAGATTAGCCAACCAAAAATGAGTAAGGCATAGTTGTTCTCAAGTAGTTCATACATTGATGAAGGGACAAACTGGCATGAAACGGGAAGCAATAATATTTATAGACTAAACATAGTTGTATACATAAGTTTTAGAGAAGCACAGTAGAGAGACAGCCTAAATGCTTGGTTCTGGACTACAGAGTGGTGATTCTGGTTAGACAGTTTAATGAGATTTTGAAGAAGTTTTTTGAAGAAAATGTGAAATAAGTTCTTTTTTTGTTAATTTTTGGTATTCCTATGCCTATTGATTCTGAGGAAATAAAATATATTATTTTGGTGGTTCCAGAAGGCACCCACAATTTTTCCTTTTTCTGCATAAGAGTTGTGTCAGAGGCGAAAGGCCTAGTACAGAGCCAAATCTAACACAGAAATGAACAGGGATATTGCTAGAAACAATTTTTCAACTGTTCAATTTTTACCTTTTCTATTGAAGCAATGAAGAATTTTTATGAATATAGACAAACACAAAAACTGGGCACAGCCATTTGAGTGTGTTGGAAGCCACAAGGTGGCGCTGCAGGCTAAAGAGATGGAGGAACAAAATCGACCAGAATGTTACGGAAGTCATTGACAAAAAGGAAAGATCGAGACAGATAGGCTGAGAAGAAAAGCTGTAGCAGCCCCTGACTGGAAAAGGAAAAATTAAAAATTCTGGATCCCTGCTACACCTAAGTTTGGGTTTGTGATTGCTGTTTGTGCTGGGGCACTGTGATTGCAACTGACATTAAGGAAAGCAGCTGCTATGGAGGCCAGAGGGTTCAGCTTCCCAAGACAAAGGCAAGTCCTGTTTCTTTTTGTTTTTTGGGGAGTGTCTTTGGCAGGTTCTGGGTTTGGACGTTATTCGGTGATGGAGGAAGCAGAGAGAGGATCCTTTGTGGTCAATCTGGCAAAGGATCTGGGACTAGCAGTGGGGGAGCTGGCTGCAAGGGGAACCAGGGTGGTTTCCGATGATAACGAACAATACCTGCTCCTGGATTCACGGACTGGGAATTTGCTCACAAATGAGAAACTGGACCGAGAGCAGCTGTGTGGCTCCACAGAGCCCTGTATACTGTATTTCCAAATTTTAATGGATGATCCCTTTCAGATTTACCGGGCTGAGCTGAGAGTTAGAGATATAAATGATCATTCACCAGTGTTTCGGGACAAAGAGATAGTCTTAAAAATATCAGAAAATACAGCTGAAGGAACAGCATTTCGACTAGAAAGAGCACAGGATCCAGATGGAGGACTTAACAGTATCCACAACTACACAATCAGTCCCAACTCTTTTTTCCATATTAAAATTAGTGGCAGTGATGAAGGCGTGATATATCCGGAGCTAGTGTTGGACAAAGCGCTGGATCGGGAGGAACAGGGAGAACTCAGCTTAACCCTCACAGCGCTGGATGGTGGATCGCCACCCAGGTCTGGGACCTCTACTGTACACATCGTGGTCTTGGACGTCAATGACAATGCCCCACAGTTTACACAGGCGCTCTATGAGACCCAGGCTCCAGAAAACAGCCCCGTAGGGTCCCTTATTATTAAAGTGTCCGCAGGAGATGTAGACTTAGGAGTCAATGCAGAAGTAGCCTATTCATTTTTTGATGCTTCTGAAGATATTCTGACAACCTTTCAAATCAATCCTTTTTCTGGGGAAATCTTTCTCAGAGAATTGCTTGATTACGAGCTAGTACATTCTTACAAAATAAATATACAGGCAATGGACAGTGGAGGCCTTTCTGCAAGATGTACAGTTTTGGTAGAGGTATTAGATACCAATGACAATCCTCCCGAACTGATCATATCATCACTTTCCAACTCTGTTGCTGAAAACTCTCCGGGGATGGTTTTCGCTGTTTTCAAGATTAAAGACAGAGACTCTGGAGAAAACGGAAAGATGGTTTGCTATATTCAAGACAATCTGCCTTTTTTTCTGAAACCGTCTGTTGACAATTTTTACATCCTAATGACTGAAGGCGCACTGGACAGAGAGAGCCAAGCCGAGTACAACATCACCATCACCGTCACAGACTTGGGAACACCCAGGCTGAAAACCGAGCACAGCATAACCTTGCAGGTCTCCGACATCAATGACAACGTCCCCGCCTTCACACAATCCTCCTACACCCTGTTTGTTCGCGAGAACAACAGCCCCGCCCTGCACATCGGCAGCGTCAGCGCCACAGACAGAGACTCAGGCACCAACGCACAGGTCACCTACTCGCTGCTGCCACCCCAGGACCCGCACCTGCCCCTCGCCTCCCTGGTCTCCATCAACGCGGACAACGGACACCTGTTCGCCCTCCGGTCGCTGGACTACGAGGCCCTGCAGGCGTTCGAGTTCCGCGTGGGCGCCACAGATCGCGGCTCCCCGGCGCTGAGCAGCGAGGCGCTGGTGCGCGTGCTGGTGCTGGACGCCAACGACAACTCGCCCTTCGTGCTGTACCCGCTGCAGAACGGCTCCGCGCCCTGCACCGAGCTGGTGCCCCGGGCGGCCGAGCCGGGCTACCTGGTGACCAAGGTGGTGGCGGTGGACGGCGACTCGGGCCAGAACGCCTGGCTGTCGTTCCAGCTGCTCAAGGCCACGGAGCCCGGGCTGTTCGGCGTGTGGGCGCACAATGGCGAGGTGCGCACCGCCAGGCTGCTGAGCGAGCGCGACGCGGCCAAGCACAGGCTGCTGGTGCTGGTCAAGGACAATGGCGAGCCTCCGCGCTCGGCCACCGCCACGCTGCACGTGCTCCTGGTGGACGGCTTCTCCCAGCCCTACCTGCCGCTCCCGGAGGCGGCCCCGGCCCAGGCCCAGGCCGACTCGCTCACCGTCTACCTGGTGGTGGCGTTGGCCTCGGTGTCGTCGCTCTTCCTGTTCTCGGTGCTCCTGTTCGTGGCGGTGCGGCTGTGCAGGAGGAGCAGGGCGGCCTCTGTGGGTGGCTGCTCGGTGCCCGAGGGCCCGTTTCCAGGGCATCTGATGGACGTGAGCGGCACCGGGACCCTGTCCCAGAGCTACCAGTACGAGGTGTGTCTGATGAGAGATTCAGAGACCCGCGAGTTCAAGTTCTTAAAGCCCATTATCCCCCACCTCCAGCCCCAAAGCTGTGAGAAAGAAATAGAGGAAACTCCTACTCTCCAGAATAGCTTTGGATTTAATTATTGAAAGGAACTCATTAATAAAGACATTTATTTCTTTAATATATTCTTGGATAAGTACATTGTGTATGCCCACCACCAAAAAATGCTTTTTTTGTTTGATTCATCTTCAACTTTGCATATCATGCTTAACTTCACAAGTTAAATTTTTAAATTTTGTATCTTGATGACGCATTTCTTACTAGAATCCCATGAGTGAAATAGAATTTTTTCCAAATTGACACTATTATACTTTTTTGCTAGTTGTAAAAGTCTTTATTAACTTTTTATTCATTGTGTCTACATTGTTCATTAGTTCTCCTTTTCCTAGAACTGTTTACTTGTTAAAGTAATCTGCTGCATGTAACGAGTGCTTTTACTATTTGATATTCCTTCTATTTTGAAACCGGTATTCTTATTGGTTTGCCATCCTTAATGTCCATTACAACAATTTTCTTAAACTTAACCTTTTTAAAAAAAATTCTACTTTTCCAGCATAGTTTTCTATTTCAAATATAATGTTTCTGTCATAAGTGATATGAGAAACCTCTAATCAGCCCTAGAAGAAAAGCAGCTGTAAGGCATTGAGCATGTGTAAATGGGCTTCCGTTTGGAAACTCCCCCCTCCATCAAAAACAGAAAGGAGTCGGTTTAGTCATTCTATAGGATCGTGTGAAAATCTTTAATTTGCTCCTTTAAATTCTGTATAAGTTCCTGAGGTTCCTGTTAAATTCTTCGTGGCCAATAGCCAAGTGCCATTCAGTTGGAAAAACAATAGCAATCTCAAAGTAGAGGTTTATGTAGTTGACTTTTAAATTTAACAATTAGAGGAGTGTGTTGGTAGTGTCTAGCCTTTTCCTCCACAACATTCCTTGATTTAATCTGTTTCCCTTACCTATGTTAGGAAAACAGAACTTCTTTATATAAGGCCTTGGAATAAGATTCTATGTAAAAAATACATTATAACTCTGTTCTTAATAGTGTTCAGATAGGTGTTAGTGTGACCTACTCTTTACCTCCCTTTATTTGGTGCGGAGAAATTAGATTCTGCTAAATTTTAATTAAGAGGGGACCTTAAAATAAGAATCAATCTCTTCTTTAACCCTGTAAGTTACTTTAAACCTAAAACAGAAAAAGCAATGACAAGTGAAAGTAAGGAAACAAATTGCAAAGAGCAAGTGAAAGAACAAAATTTTTCAAATGGTAGGAATTGAAAGGAACTGAAAAATGTTTCATGTTCTACCCACCTGAGTTTATTTATGCATGTCCTAATGCAGCCAGTATTTACTGCACCTCTGATTTTTCACCCAGAGATGATTAGATATCCTATCCTTAAGCAGCCCACATATTGACGAAGAAACAGACTGGCATGAAACTTATTTCATAAAGCA